ATTGGCCCTTTGTGGACCAGTAATAGAGTGAAAGAGCCAGTTCGGTACAGTGCGAAGAGGGAAGCATTGGTACACAGAGGTAGAAGTAAGTAGGTACTTTATTTACCTCGCTTGTTGTAAAAAAATGAGCAACGGCGGCATGCTTTGTACCTTGGCTTTGCTGGCTTAGGGTCCTAGCGAAGTGTGAATTTCTTTTATCATGTGCTACTTCCATTTAGCAAAGGATTGGCCCCGTTGTCCTTCAGGGCAACCAACCGAGAAGCAGGCAGCAGATCGTTGACTTTGAACAGTAGGGGCTGCATGATGATGTGGCATGGTCATGCTGCGATTCTCAGGATTTATGCCGTTGCTGTATTCTCCCTATGGCTGAAATTCGTTTGACCTACAGCTGACTAAAATTGGTGCCCGTTTGAACAGCAAGTAGGAAATTTTATTTGAATTTAATAACAGTGCATCAGTCTATCTTTAGGTCTCCGCTTAGCCAATATCGATAAAACAAAAATTTTTTAGTTGCTGAGAAAATGAACCTTCCGCACAGCAGTTTTTTTTGTCAAGACTACTGCATGATATACCATTTTTGTTTCTCAAGGGGGTCTTTTTCCTTCATATCTTAGACCTTACTGAATCAATTAAAGTTAACAGCTCATCACAAGTCTGCATTGATTAAGATCTGCGGGAAATGAACCTCTCCGACATTGTCTAAAGACATAATGACGTTTCTTTGCAGCATCAGAGTCAGAAAATTGAGCCTTCGAAGTGTTATGCAAGATGGGGGATGCTTGTTATTTTCTAACGCTTCGTTTTATCTTAAATATGATCATCTGTATTCTAATTTTGATCTGATCCACAATTTTGACTATGGCAGATTTTTGGTTATCCTTGGGGAATCTCTTCCCGGTTCATATCGTACATACGCCTTGTAATAGCGGTGTCTCAGCACCATGGACTAGCTTATAATAACAAATCGGCTATAGACATAGCTCTTGCCTTGAACACCATGTTGTGGACTGAAAAGCATGTACCTGCTTAGCATCTTCGAATGACGCACGTACTAAGATACACCATTAAATGGTGCCAAAAGCTGCTTGCAGAAATGTTCTGTCTAGAAAAATTACACTCCTGTGAGAAACCTGGATGGAAGAATTGACAGCCATGACCAGTGTCAGTCCTTCTGGAATGCATTAATTTTATTTCCTATTCTCTGAAATAAGGTTGTGAGTTTATGGCTAAGTGAACGGAAAGTCTAAAAGAGCTTCAATGGATTACATCGAGAAAGGAAAACACATTTCTTCGCGTTATTTGCATGGTCAAAATCGATGAAACTCGACATGATGCCGCGGCCTGAAACTCGTTGCTGTTGTTCCGAACAACTTCGAACAAAGCATGACATCGGTAACTGCGTTTGTCATAGTTGCTGCCAACCCACCGCACAAGACTCATTCCTACATCTGCATACTGAAATTAAACAGGATCCCCTCTTGCAGCAAGTCGAACTCAAGGCGTGGCATAAGGTTAGGTTGTTCACTAGTGCGGGACAACGAATTCAAAGCGTCTCACTTGTTCCGATCAGTCAGGAGAAGTACTGAAATTAACCGATTGTGAAAAGTTGGGGCAGCCGCCATGTGAACATTCATAGCTGTTCTGAAAATCTGTGAGGAAGCCAAAAAATGAACTTTCCTCAGCGTCCAAGGTACTTTAGCCAAAGAATCAGTGTACTTTCCAGCGAAAGTTACCAGGGATCTGAGATCCAAGACAAATTAAAATTTATAAAAAGTTAAGGGTTTGATAAACTTTGAAATTATTTTTTAAATAGCTTAAAAATCTGTATAAAGTAATCAGAATAATCAGTAAGAAGCGAGACAGACTGCAGAAGAACACTGCAAAGCAAAATTTTTTTGAGATGCACGACATGCAGTATACTAATTATGATAAAACCGGCACCAGGTTATGTACCTACAATTTAAATGGAACGAGAGGCACAGCTTACTTGGTCAACTCGCAGGGGCTCAGTGGCAGCGCGCTAATGACATCCATTTTGTCTTTCTTGTGTCGCAAGTACTGTAAGATGTAGCGGAACGTCTTGCCGTCGTAGTCCAAGTAGCAATTTCCGAGTTTGTCGGTAGCCGGCGTCATCGGGCCACTTTTCACGCCGACCTTGAACATCTCCGCCAGGTCACTGTCTGGGTCTGCGGTAAGCGTTGATCTTCTGACCGTATACCTCTTACCTCCAACGTTCAGACTAATCGTGTCGTCTACCATGGCTGAAAGTGTCGCAGCCAACACCAGTGTTGTCGAGATCTTGCCGATCTGTCAACGAGCTCTGGCTGATGTTCAGCTTGATAATTAACACCTTTTTATATGGCACCGCAGAACGAATTGCGCATTGTTCGAAAATTTCCGTTTGCCCGAACAGGTGAGACGATTGTGCCATTTTGACTGCCAGCACGTGGCCAGAATACTGGCTGATTAGCTCCTTTCAATAAGTCGTAGTAGTTATTGCGAGCAATCGATATCCTCTCTATGTGCATTGCCGTTCGCACGCATTGTCACTTTACACCAAGTCCGTTCATCGGCAAGTCGGTTTGTTTTGCTTTCATGAATCCTGGTTTCAGCTATGAACCAGATCGATGCAGTCCCAAAAATAGTGGGAATTAGGACTTCTTAAAGTTTGATCATTTCACTTATCTATCTCTGACTAAACTTCTGAGCAAATATTTTCTTAGTACGTCGAAATGTTTGATGGAACTGAATCGGCTTCTTTTATGCTTTGTTACCATTAGATCCATGGTGTCCATACCTTATTGATTGGTTTATTGCTTAGTGGAAAAGGAAGAAGAAACATCACTTTAACTTCGAGCTCTGTCGTAGAATGAAAGAATTGCTAAAATTTAAATGATACCACCTGACAACTTGCCTTAGCCATTGGCCTACATCTGTAAACGGTGTAATTCCTGCGCTTAACTTCTGAACTACGCTTTCGATCAAAGTACATGGCGTGTCTCCCAAGAGCATTCTCCGTCCTCATACACTAAGACGTTCTGAGACTGAAGCCTTCAACTTTCTTCGAAATCATGTTCGAAATGGATCATCGCTCAAATATAGATAGAAGAATTCGAAGAAATTGCACTTGGAGCTGCGGCCCTTCGTGCAGAGATACGGTTTAGATACGCGAATGACACAGGGGTCCTGCCGGAACATGTATGTAGCCAGCTCAATGCTTCCGATCACTTCCAATGATGAACTTATTGTCCTACGATTTCCGCTGCTTGTTTCCAAAGATATCTCTATTGGTATTGGCGAATTCTAAGAGTATAATTGGCGACGTTTCCTTTGTTTTGGCTGTCCGCTACATCTGAGATTTTTCTATCATTAGCAGCGGATGAGTGACGTCGCTGCTCAAATGCTATTTGTTGCACTCAGAATCTATCGTCACCAGCATATTTCCAGATTTCCCCTGACGTTTAAGGGTTTCACCATCAGTTTAAAACAATAATAAGGTTTGTTCAGAGTGAGTGATCTAATCTACTTCACAGCAATGTGCTAAATATCGATGCATTTGTGACTTCATTAATGGTGGAATTGGTGCTATATTGAACCGATTCATCGGTTATATTTGTATGGATGATAAGAGCCAATGGATGGAAGCTGTTCACTCAGGCGTCGACATCACGACTCGCGCTCAGGCCGGTGTTGGCGTTCTGATAGAACCCAACCTTGCCGA